ATGTAAATATAAATTATATATACACACATTCTGTATATGCATATTTTATAAGATATAAATTTTAAAATATTTTTTCCTGTTTGTGACTAGTCTTTTTATTTTTCTTAATGAAGTCTTAGATCCTGCTAGTCTTCTGCAAGTTGAGTGGAGACAATTCATCTTTCTGGGCCTTAGCTTTACCATCTAAAATAAGACCTTTCTTTCTTTTAACATTTTATGAAAAGATAATATTTCAGACTGTTATTCAAAATGAGAGTTTATACTTATAACATCTAACTTACCTAATACCATGATATAATATAATACAAAAAGCAAGGGACCAAGTGCTGGAGACTTTGACTCAACTCCTGTATTTGCCACTTACTAAATTTATTTTCTTAGAAAAAGAAGTTAACTGCTTGGGAAATTGGCTTCATCATTTGTATAGTTTGATAGAGTTATTCCAACTCTATATATGCAATAGGATTTCCATAAGAGTAAAATTAGTTACCATGGGAAATAAATTTCAAAAGTTGTAAGAATACAACTTACAATGATTTTGGACAAGATTCTTAATAACTTTGTGCTTCTGTTTTCGAATTTGAGCATGAGAGCAAATAATAAATGTTACCTCAGGATCTAATCCATGTAAAGAGCTTAGCAAATGGTCTGGCATGTTGCTAACACTCAATAAGCATTGACTACTTCCACTAAAAATAATGATAATAGAAATAAACATTGTAATAAAAGAGTTGATTGGGAATAATACTTGACTACAGGAGAGAATGTCTGAATTATATTTTTGACTCTGTTAAAATTAGTTGATGAATTTGAAGCAAATGCTTTAACATTTCAAGAACCCAGTATAATCATGTGCAAGACAAGGATAATAAACAAAATGATCTCAAATATTTCTTCTTCCTTTGAAATTTAGAAACTATGCTATCATTATAGGGACTTAGTATATTAATATTAATTACATCTTAATAAATAAACACATTTTAGTCTTCTCTCAGCTTTCCATTATTGCCAAATTCAGTTAATTGTGTATATAATTTTATAATATATAATTTATGTGTATAATTATATATATACAGACACATACATACATACATACATATACACAGTATTATTCTCTATTTCAAAAAAGAGGAAAAAGATTATCTAGGGAATTATACTTACAACATTTCTTTGCTTGTGATTGATATTCTTTTCTGCTGAAAGTATCTTAGAAAAATAAATACATAACCTCATTATAATTATATAATATGCCACCTAGGCATTCCAGTAACATGAATAATTCAAATGGGAAAAAGTTCTCTAATAAAGCTTTTATGTTAGCAAAACCCTCCTTCTCACAGATGAATAAATTTATATACAAAGGTATTTATCACCATTACTAACTTTTTTCTCATTTTATAAGCTGAAAAATGTGGACTAAAAATCATCAATTACTTAAAGTCCCTAGTCTTTGATTGGGAAAGGCTGCAGAGGAGTCTTAGGTAACAATGGAATGTCCCCAGTGTGACAGATGCAATGAATCAAATAATTACAGCATCTCTGTGGGCGGAAGCAAACTACGTTCACTGTCATGTGTAGACCTACAGTAAAAGTAAGGCTTGTAATATGTATTCTTTTATTTCAAAAATAAAGGCAAGTGTCATTGGAAGCTTAAAACAATATTCATGCCTGTGCAACTGCATTCTAATCACATTTAATGAATGACAAGAGCCGTCATTACCTGGAATTTTTTTACTTGATGGCTTTGTACCTTCTGGGGACAGGAGATAAATGAAGGAAAGATGACACCTTCAGATGTTGTCTTGATTAGTGTTGACATTTTTCCTTGGGGTTTGACAGCTGTTAATGAATTTAATTTAAACATTGAAACAGGATCAAAAAACACCTTTTAAATAACATTTCACTAAAAGGGATATCGAGACACATGGATCACAAACAGTAACAGAAAGTAAATCTAATTTGCAAGATTCCAAATCACCACTACCATGTAATTTAGTAATTTCATTAATTTTTAAGTATAACTGCTCAAAATCAGAGATTATAGAAAGTACACTAAGTTAAATTGAAGTGTTTCCCACATTGATACATCATTCAGAGAGGCTTCCTAGTCAGCATTTTGAATGAAAATCTAAAGGTATAGAGTAAACCTGAAATAATTTTTATGCAAGTTGTATTTACTCCTAAATCATCTCTGAAGATGGTGCTTTAATATGACACATGTGTTTTGTAAGATAGTATGGTTTATGGGCAGATTGCATGTATTCATTTCCTCTTTCATCTCAAGTTATATCATCTTCCGAAGAATGTGCAGTCACTGCACGCCTTGTTTTCTGGCACAGAAATTCCTAGTTTTCCTTACGGAATAAAAACAAAAATGAAACACATGAAAGTATTATCATAGTTTCAGGTGAAGTTTATTAACAAATAATAACTATGTTCTGTACCAGACTGTAGTTTGAAAAGCACATTTCACATCTAGAAAAGATCTAACTGAGCAAGCTGAACTGTTCTCAGAAAAGTACAAGACAGGGTCATCTGCAGAGGATGGGAGTGAGCTGAGGCAAGGAAACTGGAGATTTAAGAAGGAAGTGCTGAAGCAGTGTGGGTGGAGGTGTGAATCGATGAAGGTTACAAGGAAACACTGATGAGTAGAAGTGCAGCTCTACTTAAAGTGAGCAAGTTCAACTTGTAGTGAGTCCACAAGTGGTGAGATGCCATGAGGGAGTTCCCGATTACCAATAAGATGCAGTTAGGTCTTGCTCTCTTCAGAGCCCAGGAACCAGTGGATTTTCGTGTGAGTAACCGATGGAGGGAGAAATGCCCTATTTTTTTCCCACATGCTGATACTAATGTGAATCACTATAGTTCTTACCTGCTCAGAATGAATTTATGTGGTGATCATGAATGAAACTTCGGAGAGAATTCTGCAGCCATTTCAGACGCTACTACCATACCACAAAGCCTTTCTTTGTGTTAACTTCTTTTCTGGAACATGCAGGTAAACTATTCAGAATGAAAGAAAACAAAATATTTGTGAGAAGTGCTAGTGAGATCATTGTATTTAACCCAGTTATTAATGAATGGGAAGGAACAAAGAGAAGGCCAACTATTATACAAACAAAGGAGTTCCTTCCTCTCTCTCTTAATCTCTTGCTCTCTTGGGACTCCAGTTGCAGGGGATGTGCTCTCATGCTCCTGCAATTGCCTACATGCTCAAGGCCACCTGGACCACACACACAATGGACTGGTGAACTGGAACTAACCTGATGTTATACCGGACTCAGCTCCACCATGGAATGGAAACTGGACTCTGACTGCTTCTAGCCCTACGGAATCCCTCCAGCTGCACCTTTCCCAGGACTGGTTTAGGGGAAATGGGACTTTGCAACCTGAAGGATGTAATTCCAGGCAAATAAAGCTATCACATCTCATCCTCTGATGGGGACTGCCAGCAGCACCCCAAGGACCCTGCTCTCACTAGCAATGGAGAAAGGCCATCCACACAATTCTCTGATGACACTGGGATAGTTTGTGAAAGCCAAGCTGTTAACCATTCCGCCCAGACTCCAGGAAAATCGGGATACTCTCTGGGAAGACATGGTTGCTACAGGGAGAAAATAAAGGTCCAAATGGTAGTGAGATCATTGTATTTAACCCAGTTATTAATGAATGGGAAGGAACAAAGAGAAGGCCAACTATTATACAAACAAAGGAGTTCCTTCCTCTCTCTCTTACTCTCTTGCTCTCTTGAGACTCCTGTTGCAGGGGATGTGCTCTCATTCTCCTGCAATTGCCTACATGGCTCAAGGCCACGCGGACCACACACACAATGGACTGATGGACTGGAACTAACCTGATGTTATACTGGACTCAGCTCCACCATGGAATGGAAACTGGACTCTGACTGCTTCTAGCCCTACGGAATCCCTCCAGCTGCACCTTTCCCAGGACTGGTTTAGGGGAAATGGGAGTTTGCAAACCGAGGGATAGAACTGTACACAAATAAAAATTACTCATTCTTTCATGCGAGTCTTAGAAAACTCTTTTTCTCAAGATGTCGTAAGAACCCCACTTCCATTAGCAATGAAGAAATTCCACCCATGCAATTCTCTGATAACAGTATCAGCAAGCTCACATTCTCACAGCTTAGCAACTCCAGCTCTAAGAGCTTCTAGTTGGCAAAGAGATACAAAATGTGTAACCCTTGCCCAGCTGGTGTGGCTTAGTGGTTGAGCATCGACCCTTGAACCAATAGATCCCCAGTTCAATTCTGGTCAGGGCACATGCCCAGAGGGCGTGTAGGAGGCAGCCCATCAATGTCTCTCATTGATGTTTCTATCTTTCTATCCCTCTCCCTGCCTCTCTAAAAAAAAAGTTAATAAAAACATTTTTTTAAAATATAGAACCCTCATACACTGTTGTTGGGAATGTAAAATGGTGCAGCCACTTTGGGAAACAGTTTGGCAGTTGTATCAAAAGTTGAATGTGCACCAACCATATGACCCAGGAATCCCATTCCCAGGTTTCCACCCAACAGAAGTAAAAACATGTGTCCACACTGAGACTTGTTCACGAAAGTCCATAGCAGGATTATTCGCAATAGCCCCAAATTTAAGACAATTTAAATGTTCATCAAATGGCGAATGGAAAAACAAAATGTGATTTATCTATATGGACAGGGAGGGGGGAAGGGAGGAAAAGGAATGTCTGGCCCTTATACCGCCTTCAAAATCATTTGATCTGGCCCTGCCAAGGCATTAGGGGTGAGTTAATGAAATGTTTGACCAAATATAGCAGGCTAATAATTTTATATGGCCTACAAATGATGTTACACATATCAAAATTGCAGGAAGCCACCCATTGCCTTTACTATCAGAGAAGAGCAAACAAGGATCCCAGAACGCTGGTGAACCTTGGACCCATGGCAAGGTTCACCCACTGCACCGACTGTCTAGTCCAGCCAGTGGGGGCTCAAGCTACTTCCTGATCAAATAGTCTCAGAGTAAATCCTTCTAATATTTATTGACCTTTAAGATAGCCTGTCTGTTACCACAATTACCTGCCTAAGAGCTAGATGTGTATCCAAAATTGAATAAAAGGTTGGTGAGGCCTGGGCACCAGTGGAAATCCTTTCTCTTGCATTGGGCTTGCTTGCCTGGCCCCCAATATTTCCAAATTATTATTTCTTGTCTCTTCTCTTTCATTTGCGTGCAGCCCCTCTTCCAGATCCTGAACCTTGAACCACGCGGGACATGGGATCATTCACACATAAAAGCTTATAAAAGAGGTCCCAAATTTAGGGTGTCTCAGATCTCACCTGAAAGTTGAGGAAAAGCAAGTAACTAGATCAGTGATGGCGAACCTATGACACGCATGTCAGAGGTGACACGCAAACTCATTTTTTTTGGTTGATTTTTCTTTGTTAAATGGCATTTAAATATATAAAATAAATATCAAAAATATAAGTCTTTGTTTTACTATGGTTGCAAATATCAAAAAATTTCTATATGTGACACGGCACCAGAGTTAAGTTAGGGTTTTGCAAAATGCTGACACGCCGAGCTCAAAAGGTTCACCATCACTG